TCCCTTAAGCTGAGGAAATAGATGAACTCATGATCATTATTCTCAGATAACCCTTTTACATGGATTTTATAGAGGTGTAGCTGGGATCAGACAGTGAAGGTCACAGTTACAAAACAAATGGTTTGTAAAAGGAAGCAAATCTCAGAACAGTGTGTATAATACTGATTCCAATTAAGTGAAAAACAATGTGTGCAATGTGTGTGGGTGTGTAGCCAAGCATAGATCCGTGCTTCCCAGACTTCAGATCCACATAGAACTGCCATTTCTCAGGCTTTAGACAACCTTGACTGTTTTCTCATTCTTGTAGAACTTCTTGATGAGCAGCTTTGAACATTTTTTTCAAGTGAAAAGTGTTAGAGAAAAAAATGAAATTGATATTTTTATAAAGTCCGCTTCTTGTAGTCAAGCATTTATTTCCTAAAGTGTTCTGCAGTATCAGCCAAGGCCCTCCCTGCTCTTTACCTTCTCCTTCTCCCCTTCCCTTGCCTCTGCTCTCAAGCCCTATTTGGCTTTCATGCCAGGATTGCTCCCTTAAATCCTTTACATTTATTTTTCCCTCTGTTTGGAACACCCTGCCACAAACTTTGTTGTGGTTGGTTTGTTCTCATAATTGAGATCTCAGCTCAAATGTGTGTCATCTCTCAGAATGGTCTTTCCTGATCACCCAATCAAAAGCAAACTACCCCTCGACACTCATTATCTCAGATTCTATTGGTATCTATGGCTTGTTCATTGCCTATCTCTTCCCTTTAAAATATAAGCTTTGCCAAAGCAGGGGCTGTGGCTATGTTGTCATCATTCATACCTACAACAGAGCCTAGCCATTCAGGGAATGTTTGTAGCATGAAATCATACAGATGGTCCCTGACTTAGACGGTTTGACTTATAATTTTTCAGCTTTACAATGGCATAAAAGTGATATGCCATTTGAATTTGAATTTGAATTTTTTCATTAACTAGCTATTCACCTAAGAACCCTCCCTGCTTGCAGAACAGAGACAGCAAGTTGCAACTCCTGCTCAGTCTGATATTGAGGGGAAGCCACTATGCAGCGTGCCGTGTTGCTAAACTATGATGTTTGGTAGGTTAGGTAGATTCAATAACCTTTTTATTTATGATATTTTCAACTGATGATGGGCTTATTATCAAGAAGCATCTGTATTGCCCACATTGTCTAAATGTGAGTGGAATATTGAGAAAGATAATTGGGCCTGGGGATTGTCCTGAGAAAACCAAACTCAGTAAAACCTAAACCAGTACTCCAGGTGGTGTTTCCAAATTGGAGTTCCATATTCTGGAAAGCCCTCTTCCAAGCTTACTCAATCCAGAACCCCTTTCATGCTATGTCCTATTATGAACAGGGCATGCCAGTGTTGCCCCGTAAAGAAGCTTTAAATAGTCTCCCCTTAGAATTAATCTGACTTATGTTAGTTACTTATCTTGCTTGAGATTCTGACTCACTAAAATATAAGTTCCATGAAAGCAGAGGTTACTGTCTGTTGAGTATTATGTTCTCAGTGTCCAGAACTATACCTGGTACCTGGTGGGTGCTCAATAAATATTTGCTGAGAGAATCGTGAATGAGCAAAAGAACAATTTTTATTGTGTCCACTAATCCTCAGTGAAGAGGGCAGAAAATTTGGAACAAGTTGATGATACTCTATTCTGATTTATTTGGTTCATATTTCTAACCTACTTGTATATTATTTATTCTTGCTGCTGGTTTTCCCAGTGGATTTTTTCTGGATGGGCAAAGTGGAGGAGTTAAGAAAATGCAGTAGGAGTAAGGGCCTTGGGTTCTGACCCCACTGTAGTAGTGATGATAATAATAACTAACATTTAATTATAGCGAGAATTTGTATTGCAATTTTCTTTCAAAATTTTTGCATGTGGCTTCTAAAATACGCCTGTGAGACAGATAGTAGTACCTTCTTTTTCAGGTAGGTGAACAAGCTTAGAGAGTACTGGGGCTTGAACTCAGGGCCTTCACCTTGAGCCACTCCACCAGCCCTATTTTTGTGAACAGTTTTTCAAGATAGGGTCTCGCTGAACTATTTGCCCAGGCTGGCTTTGAACTATGATCTTCTGATCTCTTCCTCCTGAGTAGCTAGGATTACAGGCATGAGCCACTGGTGCCTGGCTTGAAAGACTCTTCTAATATCACTTAAGTGACATAAAATGGTCTCCATCTAAACCCAGGTCTTACCATGCCAAAGTCCATGTTTATCGCACAGCATCTGGTGCCTCCCAATTGACTGAGCATGATGAAGAAGCCATTTCCCTTTCCAGGTCTGAGTTCTAGAAAACCCCTAGGTGATCTTAGAGTCCTTCCACATTTATTTATTTATGTATTCTTTTTTGACAGTATTAGAGTTTGAACTCAGGGCTTTGCATTTGTTAGGCAAGCACTCTACCTACTATTTGAGCTACATCTCCAGATCGCCTTCCAAATATAAATTCTATGATTCCTTGAACCTTTTTTCTCCATCATCTATTTTAAAAATTGCTATAGTTTTTTTTTTAATTTTATTAGTCATATGTGCATACAAGGCTTGGGTCATTTCTCCCCCCTGCCCCCACCCCCTTCCTTACCACCCACTCCGCCCCCTCCCTCTACCCCCTACCGCCTCAATACCCAGCAGAAACTATTTTGCCCTTATTTCTAATTTTGTTGTAGAGAGAGTATAAGCAATAATAGGAAGGAACAAGGGTTTTTGCTATTTGAGATAAAGATAGCTATACAGGGCATTGACTCACATTGATCTCCTGTGCGTGGGTGTTACCTTCTAGGTTAATTCTTTTTGATCTAACCTTTTCTCTAGTTCCTGGTCCCCTTTTCCTATTGGCCTTAGTTGCTTTTAAGGTATCTGCTTTAGTTTCTCTGTGTTAAGGGCAACAAATGCTAGCTAGTTTTTTAGGTGTCTTGCCTATCCTCACCCCTCCCTTGTGTGCTCTCGCTTTTATCATGTGCTCAGAGTCCAATCCCATTGTTGTGTTTGCCCTTGATCTAATGTCCACATATGAAGGAGAACATACGATTTTTGGTCTTTTGGGCCAGGCTAACCTCACTCAGAATGATGTTCTCCAATTCCATCCATTTACCAGCAAATGATAACATTTCGTTCTTCTTCATGGCTGCATAAAATTCCATTGTGTATAGATACCACATTTTCTTAATCCATTCGTCAGTGGTGGGGCATCTTGGCTGTTTCCATAACTTGGCTATTGTGAATAGTGCCGCAATAAACATGGGTGTGCAGGTGCCTCTGGAGTAACCTGCGTCACAGTCTTTTGGGTATATCCCCAAGAGTGGTATTGCTGGATCATATGCTAGATCGATGTCTAGCTTTTTAAGTAGCCTCCAAATTTTTTTCCAGAGTGGTTGTACTAGTCTACATTCCCACCAACAGTGTAAGAGGGTTCCTTTTTCACCGCATCCTCTCCAACACCTGTTGTTAGTGGTGTTGCTATTGATGGCTATTCTAACAGGGGTGAGGTGGAATCTTAGCGTGGTTTTAATTTGCATTTCCTTTATTGCTAGAGATGGTGAGCATTTTTTCATGTGTTTTTTGGCCATTTGAATTTCTTCTTTTGAGAAAGTTCTGTTTAGTTCACTTGCCCATTTCTTTATTGGTTCATTAGTTTTGGGAGAATTTAGTTTTTTAAGTTCCCTATATATTCTGGTTATCAGTCCTTTGTCTGATGTATAGTTGGCAAATATTTTCTCCCACTCTGTGGGTGTTCTCTTCAGTTTAGAGACCATTTCTTTTGATGAACAGAAAAAAATTGCTATAGTTTTTAAAAGTACTAAAATAATGAGATTTTATTCCTATACATAAGATGAGAATTTTCCCTTTTTCTTCTCTTTTTCCTTTTTTTTTTTTTTTTTTTTTTGTACTGGGGTTTGAACCTGTATTTACTAGGTAGGAACTCTACCACTTGAGCCACACCACCAGTCCAAAACTAAATGAATTGGTTTATCCTCAAAAGAATCTTCATTAGTATTTTTTTTTAATGCCATCAGAAGATTTTACTCTGAGGTTATTTGAAAGCAAATGAAATGGGGAAAAAAATACAGCCACTCTTCTAGCTATCACGCCATTTAGAGCAGAATAAAAATAAGTGAATCTGGCCACAACACCTGTGATTCCAGCACTAGGGAGGCTGAAACAGGAGGATTGTGAATTCGAGGCCAGCCTGAGCTACAGAGAGAGAGACCCTGTAAAAACAAGAAATATTTGGCCACTAAGTAGCTAAATAAACCTTTCCAAAAATACATAGCAAGGTCTGGTCTTCAGCATTATACACCTGATAAACTCCTTTTATGTGCAAAACATTTGTGTTATTCACACAACTTTGTTTAAACAAGGTGATTAAACCACCTTTAAGCAACAGAACAAGTGGACTATGTTTCTTTTTCACAGGGCATTTAGTTTTGTCCGTACTTTTATTTGTGACCATCTAGAAGTAAGCTACTTTATATGTCACATAAAAAACTTTACACAGAAAAATCTGTACTCACACATTTTTTTGAGTTTTATTTTGCTAAAAAGTAGAATTCAACGGGCTAAAAAAAAAAACATGCAAAATAGTTTTGTGCACACCTCTAACATACTACATTCCACTTCTGAAAACTTATCCAAAAAAACCAAAAAACAAAAAACAAAAACAAAAACCCAAAGCAAGAGTGCTTGGATTGAAAACATTATAAAAGCTACATTCCTAACAGAAACACTGAGGAAACAAGGCACTCCCTTGCAACAAGTGAATGTTTATCAATGTTAAATTAATGTGAACAATGAGCTGCAGAACGAAGTGTGCTCCTCACCATGAAGTATTAAAAAGCATGCTTGGTGTCGTAGACACCCATGATGTTCACTAGATCTACAGACAGCCTCAATCGTAATACTGCGGTAGACTCTCAGACACCGTGTGAACCATGTGCAGAACTACCTTCTTTTCCTGACACCTTTAAAGTGGCTTTTGGTTTTAGTTTTTAGTTCTTTTTTATAAAAAAAATTTTTTCAGTGGGTTCAATCCCCAGGGTCTCCCGCATGCTAAGAAAGCATGCCACCACTGGTCTATATCTCCCACCCCTAAAATGTTTTTGGTTTATTTTGTTTTTGATAAATAAGAGTCCCTCAGAATCTGTATGAACTCTGAGATGTGAAAAAAAAATTCAATAGAGAGCAATGATAAAGCTGTCCTTTGATATACTTCTCTTTTCTTCTTAATGATCATACAGTTTTTAATAATCACACATGTATAGCATGTGTGCACATGTAAAACCTTTAAAAAGAGATTTTGGAAACAGCTCTAGGGAACTTTTTGTTTTCTTTCCTCCATACCGGTTCCTGATCATTTCATAGACTACTTTAGAAAAGAAAAAAAACACCCTGCTTAGTCTTTTTGTATAATCAGCAAGCTTCTTGTCCCTGTATATTGAACTTTCCAAAAATAACAGAATGCTCCAAGGTATGTGCTTGCTTGTCTCCTGACCATTTTCCAGGCTATCCCACAGAATTCCTCTGCTTGGAGCTATGCATTCACTTTCTCACTGCCTCAAAAGTAAAGAAGGGCCCTCGGGTAGGAGGACACCCTCCCCCGGGCAGCATGGGAGAGGTTGGTGGCTTCACATTTGGAAAAACTTGGACTTCCTGCTAGGATATGGCCAACTGCTTCCCTGTCCCTCAGAGAAGACCCTGAGGTAAGATGGCAGTTCCCTGGAAGCCTCAGTTCTCAGAAGAAAGCGAGTTCTAATGCACTGCTGTAAAACATTTCAAACATGCAAAGAGAAAATCTAAAACAAGAGTAGCAGGGAGTTGTGAAAGTATCTAAATACTGTGCTCCAGTGTGAAACATCCACACAAACTGCCTGCTTCAGTATCATTTTCACTGTGCATTATAACAGGGCTTCCTAAAAAGGAAGGAGACCACACCATCTCCAACCTCAGAAATGAAGCTTGTTTCTTTACCAACAGCATTACCATGCCTGCCTAACTCAGACTATTACCTGTATTATAAGGAAGTCTGAAAGGCCTAGTCTATTTCAATAAGTACTTAAATAATTACTAGATCAACTCAGCTCATACATTTTCAAAATATTGGCCCAAATGGCAAATGCATCCTCTTTTTTCTTCCCAAAGTTAGCACAATTATGCATAACCATTGTGGTGCTGTTAAAGGAAGTTGTGAAGAGGATGGTGCAGCAGGAAGGTGGGAGGTCTGTCGCTCCTGTGTTCTTAACTGAGGTTGGCAGAAAGTAAGGGGTCTTTCTCCACTCACAGTTTGGGGGTGTCAACCTATTTTTCCATCCTAAGTCAGACACTGTCTCTTCTTTCCACAGGCCACCAAGCCTGTTTGGCAAGGGGAGGGAGGGTGAGGAAGACATTGTAAGTAAGCAGTGGCAGGTAAGGAGTGAAATGCATGCATAGGAACTCATGCTCAGGAACCTCTTAAAGCAAAACAAAGGCCAAACACATCCCGGAGTCTTGGTTAAATCTCTTCTCACACACTGCAAAGCAAAACTGGAAAAACCCAATTCCACTTTCCCATCACAATTCAAAAAGGAGCAAAGCCTTCTGGGGGCATTGGATGTTTCAAACTGAAAGAGGGGATCTGTCTCAATGGCAGGCAGTGTGAGCCACAGCCCTTTCTGGAGCCTTGTCAGTTGCCCAGGGGCTCCCAGAAGACATCTCTTCAGATGTCTGGGCTCTCTTTAGATGTCTTAAGTTTGCTCAAGGTCTGAAGTCTGATGTGCAGAGGTAGCTCCATGACGCTGGTAATGGAACAACACTTCCTTTTTTGGTGAGGAAGGCCCAATCGGTCTTAGCTAACCAGCTCTCAGCTATGGCTCTAAAAATACCCCTGCTTGGCACTTCACTTTGTTTGCCAGAAGAACTCTACAGAACTCTCCCGCATGCTTTGGATTCTCCCTAACTGCTCTAAGCTCTGTCCCTATTCTGGTGGTGGCAGGAAGATGTATCACAGTGGGAAAGTTGCTTTTTGTTTTTCACTTTTGAGTTCTTGGAATCCTGTCCTAAGCATCTGAAATGCAATTCCAGTCTTGGATTAATTACTAGCTTGGTTTAGAATCTTCATTTGGCTTCTAGTCTGAACTATGCAAATACACGCTCTGTGTACACAAGAAAAGACTAAAATTATACTTCAAAAGGGCTCAATCGCTTCCTCTCTTCCCTTGTACCCCCAAAAGAAACATCAGCCTCCTTCAATCCTTTGTTGCCAGTAGCAAGAGCAGCCCGGGCCTCGCCCACACCATTTGCCCTGGGCCCCTACACGTTGATGGCATGAGCGTGCTTCTTGCACAGGGGTTTGTCCTTCTTGGAGTAGAACGGCTGTCCCTCCAGATTCACATGGCAGACCTGGGGCAGAAAATAGACTGGTGTCAGATGGAGGCTTGCAGCCCATGCAGCTAGGGTACATGAACAAAAGAGTTCAGTTAGGTCAGGCATCGTGTTGCATTCCTATAATCCCTGGGGAGACTGAGGCAGGAAAATCTTGAGTTCAAGGTCAGCTTGGGCTATATAGCAAGAACCCATCGCAAAACAAAGGAACAAAAAAAGATTTCGGTCACCTTGTAAGAAGAAGCACTGTTACATACAGCTAATGAGACAACAATAGTCTGTTTCTCCCCACCATGAATTCTCAAAGAATAAAGCAGAGTAAATGGGTAGAACTATAAAAATAAAAATTTCCAAAGAAGAGCATGAACTAAAACTCAAGTTTCATTAAATTTAACAGAATAGAGATTATAACGAGGAAGATGTCCAATTCATGTTATCCAAAGTGTATAAGGAAACCAAGACCAGTTCACAAGTTCACAGAAAGGATTAACATCTAAGCAAATATTATTAGCAAACTAACAAAACATCAGAAAAGATTATCCTTACTAATAGTTAAAGAAAAATTTATAACCTCCTGAAATGCCATTAGACACCTATTAATTAATGCAGAAAAAAAATCAGACAAAACCTCTCAAGGGCTTGTCACCCTTAACCTTCACTCTAGCCAAAAAGTGAAAGAAAGAAAGAAAAAAAAAGTCAATTAAAAAGTCAGCAATGCCAAATGGAAACGGGGCCTACTTGTGCACACGTGACACGTGAATCAGCTTGAAGTCCATGTGGCAACACTGAACAGGAGCCACAAAGATAGTGTATACCCTGTAGCCCAGCAGTGCCACCCTGGAGAATTTTATCTTGCAGAAACAACTCCACAGAACACAAAAGCAGTGTATGCTCAAGTAGAAACTGACAACTACCAAAATTTCTTTCAATAGGAAGATGATTAAAATTTTATGGTGCATTTTCCCAATGGGATACTACCATGAAAAAAAAAACCCCATTAAATAAGGAAAGATGCATGCAAAAAAATATGATATGAAAAAAGAAGCCAAAATTACATATTCCCATGATGATAGATGAATGCAGTTTGAGGCTGAAGACATTTCAGAAGAAGAAAAGGAATTAATCTTCATTGAGATTACTATGGGTCAAGGAGAATGAGCTCATTTAATTCTCACCAAAGCCTCGTGGTGTAGGTATGCCTTTCCCCTATTTCACAATTAAAAACTGGGACTCTGAGAGCCCAAATGTCTTACTTCAGCCACAGACCTAGTAAATTGGTGAGCTAGGAATTGTGTCCAAGACTGTAAGAACTCAGTTTCATGATAAATTTTCCCATACCCCATAGCAGAAAGGGATGTGTTTACTTGCAAATGTTCTGAGCTTACAGATTTGTGCAGAAGTAGCCCTCTGAGTTGGTTGGATAACCAATATGTACACTGGACCCCAAGTGGGCAATACGTCAGAGTCAGCTGGGAAGTCTCATTGGCTGGAATGGTCCCCAGCCAAAGAGAGGGCACTGGGCAGCCCTACGGGGAAGCAGAGAAGGGGGCACATCTGGATACTGGTATCTGAAGAAGTACAGGAGTCCCTACACAAAGGTAGCCATAAGGATAGAGACATCCTCCTCATGAGCTAAGCTGGGGCAGTGAGCACATGTCAAAGAGAGCTGGAAAAGGGCATCATGATGGCCCAGTTGGGGAGGCCATACTTGGGATCACATAGATCCCAATGGATCAATGGGCCATAGAATCCAATAAGCTGAAAAATTATCTGAAATAGCCCAGGTGGATACAGCAATGCTGAGTGTAATCAGTTGCTGTGGTCTGGATGGACCTTAAGGGTCCATGTGTTGGAAGCTTGGTCTTCAGTTGTAGAAGTGTTGGGAGGTAGGACTTTAAAGAGGTGGGAGGTCCTTAGGTCAACTGGAGGCATGCTCTTGAAATGGATTAGAATATTTGTTGTGGGACCCTGTTTAGCTCAATCTCCAGCCAGGTAGCATCATACTTGGCTGTGGAGAAGTGATGACCATGGATAATGCTTGACTACAGTCCCAGCAGAGTGAAGGCAATGAAGTAGGCCAGCCATGGCAGCCCCTAGAACTTCCTGCAAAACTATACCACTGCCCATCTCTTCCTGATACCCACATCAGTGGAGAGGAGCTAGAAACCAACCAGGCTTACGGAACCAGGAAGACATTTTCTCCCACCAAGATGGGACCCAATTCCCTTCCATTGAACTCATGTATCAAAGCCATGTGCTTTGGACTTTAGAGATTACTGTCTTGTTCTATTTTTTAATTGTCCATTATCTATTAGCGTCATTTTCCTGTCAAGATTCTAGATTCTATAAAAATGGATAGACTTGCTCTGGGATACTTATATTCCCCAAATTCCAGGGACATTTGGTGAACTGAATTTGTCTGAAGAATGTGCTATCCAGAGATCAGACTGATGAGAAAATAGTATGTAAGTGACAGAACGAGTCTGGAGCTTTTTTCTTACTTTTTTTTTTCTTGCGGTACTGGGGTTTGAACTTATGCTTGGCATTGAGCCTCCTGCTTGCTAGGCAGGCATTCTACCACTTGAGCCACTCTACCACCGCTTTTAATATTGAGTATTTTTGAGATAGGGTCTTACTTTCTTTTTGCCCAGTCTGGCCTCAAACCTTGATCCTCCTGATCTCTGTCTCCTGAGTAGCTGTGATTACAGGCATGAGCTACTGGTGCTGTCTTTTTTTTTTTTTAATTATAGGAAAATACATGCTCATTAAAAGTGATCTGGAAGCTGGGCACTGGTGGCTCATGCCTGTAATCATAGCTACCTGGGAGGCAGAAATCAGGAGGATTGTGGTTCAAAGCCAGCCTGGGCAAATAGTTCTGTGAGACCCTATCTTGAAAAACTGTTGACAAAAATAGGGCTGGTGGAGTGGCTCAAGGTGAAGGCCCTGAGTTCAAACCCCAGTACCATATACACACAAAAAAAAAGTGATTTGGAGATATAAAGTGATAGAAAAAAGACCCCTTCCCCCACCTCCAAAAAAACAAAAACCACAACCTGCTGAGGATGTAGTTCTGTTGTAGAGTGCTTGCTTAGCATGCACAAGACCACTGGGGGAAAAAAATTCCTCCAAGTTTTCTAATCACCTAGGCTGGTGGAATGACTTAAGTGGTGGAGTGCCTGCCTAGCAAGCACAAGACCCTGAGTTCAAACCCCAGTACCACTAAAAAGAAACAAAAAAAATTCCCAAAGATTAAAACTATGTTTTTTGCAATGTCTCAGAGGGGGCAGTGTACCACAAAGGGCTGGTCTGAAGGAAGACCTAACAATTTTCATGTTGTTTTCCAAAGGATTGGAATCAGTCCAGTTTCTTTTGGCAAATCTGCTGAGCAGTGCTATGGGTTTCTCACCCCTGACTGGCCATAATTCTTTAGAACTTATTTGTAATATCAACCTGAACCACCTTACTTCTGGTCTCTCTTAGGACCCGTGCTGTTGTGACTCTGAGTACACAGTCTGTTGTGACAGTGAGCTGGAGATGCAGACCCTTGGTCACGTTTGCCATGGCTTCTTCCACATGCAACACAGCCCTCTCATCAGCATGCCCTTGGAGAACAGGCCTTTTGTGCCTCTGTCTTCCTGGACTGTCTCCAAGTCTCTTAGATTCTTCTAGAAGTTGGATAACCAGACTTGCAAGCAGTGTCTCAAGATCAGACAAGTCATGGCTTGAAAGTAAGGGTCAGAGAATGCTATGCTGTCCCTGGCTGAGCCCCAGCTCTGCAGGATACCATCCTAAAGACAGAATATTTACACCATTCTCTGTTTCTGGAAGGGAGGCCTGATATATTTAAAGGATCCTAAAAAACAACTAGAGAATTTGTACAAAGAGTTAGAAAGTCAGTGTTAAGGGGTTGAGTTATGTCCCTTAAAATTCATATGTTGAAGCTACACAAGAGTAGTGTACACCTGTAGTCCCAGCTACTTTGGAGGTTGTGACTGGAGGATTACTTGAGCCCAGGCATTTGAGGGCAGCCTGGACAATAAAGTAAGACCCCATCTCAAACAAAATAAAAGAAATTCATATGTTGAAGTACTAACTCTCATTACCTCCAGTGTATCCAGTGTCCAGACACATCAGTAGCTATATCTGAGAATAATCTTTGCAGATGTAATTAAGATGTAAATTAAGCCAGGCACAGAGGCTATAATCCTAGCATTCAAGAAGCAAATATTGGGAGGACTGCAGTTGGAGGCCAGCTTGGGTGAAATGTTCTTGAGACCCCATCAATAAAAGCTGGGTTTGGTGACTTACATCCATCATCACAGATACTCGGGAAGCATAAATAGGAGAATTACAGTCCAGGCCCACCCAGGCACAGTTGCAAAACCCTATCTGAAAAATAATTAAAGCAAAAGGACTGGTGGCATGGCTCAAGTGGCAGAGTGCTTGCTTAGCAAGCACAAGGCCCTAAGTTCAAACCCCAGTATTGCCCCCTAAAAGATGTAAATTAAGATGAGGTCATACTGGAGTAAGGTAGACCTTTAATCCATTATGACCTACATTCTTATAAAAGGAGGAAGGGCTGGTGGAGTAGCTCAAGTGGTAAAGTGCCTGCCTAGCAAGCATGAGGCCCTGAGTTCAAACCCCAGTACCACCAAAAAAAAAAAAAAAGAGGAAATACCCACTCAGAGAGATAAACACACAGAGGAAAGGGCCTATGAAGACACAGACACACAGACAAAAGACGACTGTGTGATGATGGTGGCAGAGATTGGAGTGATGTGGCTTCAAGTCAAGAAATGCAAGTACTGCTGGCATCCACTGGAAGCTGGGAGAGAGAGCATGGCTGCCTGTTGGAACCTTGATTTTGGACTTCTGTCTTCTTGAATTGAGAGAAAACATTTCTGTTGTTTAAGCCATCATTTGTTACGGCAGCCCTAGCCAACTAATACAGAATGAATACAAAGCATCTCAAATCGTGGGGGCTTGAAAGTGAAGTCAGAAGCAAAACTGTACAGCAGTGAACCTTATGACTAGGATTGTCATTTATCATAAGTCTTTAAAATATTATTCAAGTTTAATCTGCACAGATATTTTATACAGTCCCAAATTTTACCTTGAGCAACTCTGGTTAATAAAAAAAATAGTAGTAACATATCAATTTTCCCAAATAAAGTTAGGCCAATTATGGACTGACATTACAGGACTTATCAGGGATGATTGTTTCCTGCTTCCAACTCAAAGGCTAAATATTGGTAGCTCAGTCTCATGCCCTCACCGCAACCCAAAGCCCTTGGAAGGGAAATGCCAGGCTCATAGTAAAATGACCCAGCTGCTCAACAGAATTAAACCGCACACAGTTAATAGTTAAGCAAAGGCTTATCTCCTGGCAGCTGTGTATCAAGAACAGGACCACTTAGGGAAAGAAAGCGATATACTCAGTCTTACTTTCTAAAGGTTCTACTAAGAGAAACCTTATCTCAGCTTTTCACAGGACTAGTCAATAAGTACCAATCTGGTGTCCATGGTGAAAAATTTGGGGAAACCCTCAATCACTATGATAACCAAAGCAACATATAACCTTAGGAAGGCATCTGCCACTTTTATGTCCAAGCATTAGTTGCTATCCCCACGTATGGACAGCTGGCAGTGAGACAAGCTGCTGATTTTCTAACTCCAAGGACATTTTGTTGTCCCTCATGAAATGGAAAGCAACAAAGCCATGTTGGCTTATAAATAGACATTAGTAATAAAGCCTTGTTCAACTGTGACATGTTAAGGTATTGTAGTGTTTGCAAGCTTTTAAAAAAGATCAGCATATCAGAGTGCCAGAGTTGCAAGCAAAATCTATGGTTGGTCTTCTAACCCCCACTTACTCCTTGCTGCCCCTTCTCAGACAACTGGAACCCCAGGCTAAAAACATACCGCACAAATGAAGCAGGTGTCATGCCAGGTATGCCCCAGTGCTTCAATAAACTTGTCACCGGCTTCCACAGGGAAATCACAGCCATGACATTTGGTGCTGAACAGATTGATGTAGTCTGAAATAAAAGGTAGGTGAGGACCAAGCACAAAAGCAGGCAGGGAGAAGCAATCCAGCCACAGGGACCCAAAGCCAGGACAACCCCCAGTGGGCTGGGGGCAGTGGGTGAAACCTAATGGGTGGTTTGTTATCTTATAGACAAAATGAATGAAGTTATGTGTGACTCACAGTTTTTTTGTTTTTTTCCTTTTCCAGTAATTTGCACTGAAGTTGTGCAGATTCAGGCTTTGTACTGGTTTGATCTGCAAACACTTTCTGGAATAGTCATAAACTTGGGTGATTGTCTCCTCTGCCTCTGTTATCTCTGATAGCCCAAACAGACCAATACTAACACAGAATTTTTTTTTAATTCCACATTTCCCAATTTTGGAAGAATAAGGGTCCCTAAGATTTTTTAAGAATTATAGAATGTCCTTTGCTTGACCATTCTTCTGTCATTGGACATTCATGTTGGCAACACATTTTCACTCCCAGAAACAGTATTTGAGCTGCTTTATTGGGTAAGTCCTTCTCTCCCTAGCAAAGGAGACAATACTACTAAAAATTATCTGCACAGTGCTTTGTAGTTTCTAAGCATTTTCACATACATGTTCCTGTGGTTTGAATATGTCCCCTCAAAAGCATGTGTTGGAGGGCTGGTGCTTAGAAGGTAAGAGCTCCTGCCTAACAAATGTGAGGCCCTGAGTTCAAACCCCAGGTCTGCCAAAAAAAAAGCATGTGTTAGAAATTTAATCCCCAATGCAATGGGAGGTGGGGCCTAATGGGAAGTGTTTAAGGGCTGTACTCTTATGAGTAGATTAATCCAGGGACTGGGCCTATTATGGCAAGAGTGGGTTTCTTGTGAAAGTGAGTTTGGCCTCCTCTTACCCGCCCTCTTGCCCTTTAACTTTCCACATGGGCTGATGCAGTAAGAAGGTCTTCAAAAAGACGCAACCCCTTGATCTTGGACTTCCCAGCCTTCAGAACTGTGAGCCAAATAAATGTCTATTCATTATAAATTAGCCAGTCTGAGGTGATAGCAGCATAAAATAGACTAAGGCAGATGGCATTATGTATAAGTCCCTCCATGTCGAGGACTATGTCTTACTTTTATTTGTACTCCCAGCACAATGCCTAGTACATAGTCGATACCCAACAGCTATATAGTGAATGAATCAGTGAATCAATACATATGTAGTGAATTAATGAGTCAGTAAATAAATGAATAAATGAATCTAATCTTTACAACACTGCCCAAAGATTGAACTGTTACTTAGTTTGTTTTGTTTTGTGAATGAGGAAATTGAGACTCAAGAGGTGAAAGACCCAGCCAGAATCCCACAGAGAGATGTGATCAGGTTCTGTGGTCCTCCTCCATAGCAGCTGTCCTCTCTGAGCCAAAGGGGCAGCAGATCTACCACACTGGCTATAGAATTTTTCTAAATTCTTCTAGAAAAGCTCAAATCCCTTTATGGAGGGAAGTTTACTTGTCTCTCCTAGGCTCTGCTACAAGTGACTTTTCCTTGTAACGATTTTCTGTTCATTTCCTTGTGGACAGTATGTCTGTTCATTGTTTTAGACCATGTACTGAGAGGCAATGTGCCACATGAGTTACAAACATCTGAAGAGAGAAAGATCTGGGTTTAAGTCCCAGCTCTATTAAGGAACTGCTCAAATCAGGAGAAAGTCATCTAATTTCCATATTTTTAGGAATAATGATAGCACCGAACTCATGGGGTTATTGAACAGATTAAATAATATATGTGAAGTATTTGGCAAAAATATTAAAAAACATTGGCTCTTATTTGGAAGTGTCCATAAAAATGATGAAAGGAGGGAAGAGGACCATGAATTGAGTGTTCACACTATTTCCTGTTTAATCCTTATGGCTGCTCTGTGAAGAGGTAATTTCCTATTTTTTTAAGGATGAAGAAACAGACTGGAAAGTTGCCATCACACAAGTCATAATGAGATGGACTCCAAAGCTCAGCCTCCTTCCATGCCTTTATTCTCTTTCTTGCTCTTTATCTATTTGCCATTGAGCTTTGATCAGTTTTATTTATTTCTTGCATATTTTTCCAACCTGTGGCTTCCCCTTTTGTGCTCTAATAATACTTTGTCATGCAAATGTTCCTGTTTATCTCAGTCCATCTTGTCTCTGACAGAATACATAATTTCTTCATTAGGCTGAAATTTGTCACCTTGCCAGACTGAGAAAACATTGGTCTGCTTCCTTTAGAAAGTCAGTGCAGGTTTATGGTGCCCAGTAGGAATTAAGCCCTGCACCCCACTTTTGACTTCTCTCTTATCACTCCCAGGCACTCTGAGCTCTCTCTTAAATCTCTATGCCTCCGTATTAACCAGGTCCTGATTTGGAAAGCCCTCCCCACATTCTCTACCTCAATCTCTGTAATCCTGAGGGTCAAGTCTTCCTACTGGGAGTTTTCATGCCCCCCCTCAACCAAGAGAGATGAGATGACCTTCCTGAGGGCTTCCCTGGCCTTTCCTCCTTCATCCTTCCATCCACCTATCCACACATTCATCCATCTGTCTATCCTTCCATCCATCTATCCACCATGTACCCATCATCCTCAGATGTCTACGTACATCCCGGCATAGCCCATCATGGTGGGTTTGCTTCAGGATTTTGAGGGCAGAGATTCTACCATACTTGCCTCTGCTCAGAGCTTCCCACAGTGAATAGCATAACTACATGTTCAGTATACATGTAACAAAAAATGAACAATCAAGAAATAGTTCAACCAACCTTATTAAACACTGATTCCTTCTTTCTCCTGATGTTTTTTCACCAATTACACTCTTAGAACAGCTTGAATCTATTCCTGGAATTTCTAGTCTTGCCTGCTAATTGATTTTTCAATTTTAAACTTGATTTTGGTATGATCTGGAGAATTGCCACTTGAGTTTAAAATTTGTTAGCACGAGTCTGACTCTAACACATTCCTTAAAAGTTGATATTTTTGCTGGGTGCAGTGGCTCATGTCTGTAATCCTAACTACTTATGAGGTAAAGAGCAGGAGGATCACAGTTTTGGGCCAGTCCAGGTTAGTGAGACTCCATCTCAATCAATAAAAAGCTGGGTGTGGTGGAGCACACCTGTCCTCTTAGCTATGGGGGAAACACAAATAGGAGGACCACAGTTCAGGCCAGCCCTGGCATAAAAATGAGCCCCTGTTAGAAAAATAACTAAAGCAAAAAGACTTGTAGCATAGCTCAAGTGGTAAAGCAAATGCAAAGCCCTGATTTCAAACCCCAGTACCATAAAAACAAAAGTAGATATTTTCCCTCATTTATTCTACAAAAGTTCTGAATTAAGTCTGCATACATGAGCCTTTCCCACCAGCATCATAATCTAGCTCCTCATTTTTCTTTCTTACTCCCTTTAGGTCTTCATGATTTTCTTTAACTCTCTTATGTTTCAGGTTGAGTTAATATCCGTGCACTTAATGGATTTTATTGCTACTGTAAAAGGAATTCCATCCATCAAATCACAGATGCTCTGTGTTGAAAAAGGGTTTAGTGCCTTTTTCAAGCAGTGGTTCTCAAACATTAGAATCAAATGGAAGGTTTGTTAAACTATGGATCGTCAAGCTTCACACCCAGAGTTTATAATCCACAGACTGGGGGGAGAGGGATGGACAGTGGCCAAAGATCTGCGTTTCCAACAGGTTCTCTTGATGCTGCTGATCCTGGGGACCATATTTTGAGAAACAATTCTGATTTTCAAATCTAACTGAATATCAGATTCATCCCTATGGAACGGGGTACCCCATGAGATTCTGCCTCTGTAGGTCTGGTAATTTATCTTCTCTCTAGCTTTTAAGGCTTCACAGGTGATCGTGATGTCCTGTCAGGCCTGGCAACAGGTGTAGGTTCAAATGTAAGGGGTTGACCTTCCCACCTGTCTTACTTTAAAGGTGTCAGCTCATCTTTACAGCCAACTGAAGTCTTTTTGAGTTTAGACTCTACCATTCTGGCTCAATCTGTAAACTTGATAGGACTCCTTTCTGTGTCTTCTTCCAAATTGTTGATTAAAAAATGGTAGCAAGAAACCACAATGGGGTATCAAACCATTAAGGATGGCTACTATCAAAAAAACCAGAAAAGGAGTTGGTGAGAATGGAGAGTAATTGGGACCTTGGGGCAACTGTTGATGGGGTTGTAAAATGATGCAACTACTGTGAAGAAAGTATGGAGGTTTTTTAAACAACAAAAATAGGGCTGAGGGCTGGGAGCTGGGTACTAGTGGCTCACAGATGTAATCTTAGCTACTTGGGAAGCTGAGATCTGGAGAATCAAGGTTTGAAGCCAGCATGGGCAAATAGTTCTTGAGACCCCAACTCCAAAATCACCAGAGCAAAATGGACTGATGTGTGGCTCAAGCAAGAGAGGACCTATTTTGCAAGTCCTGTCAAAAAAAAACCAAAAGAACTGGGGATGTTGCTCAGTGGTATAGCACTCATCTAGCATGCATAAGGCCCTGGATTCAATCTCCAGCAATGAGGAAAAAAAAAGAAAAGAATCAAAAATAGAATTTTTATGTTGTCTAAGTCCCACTTCTGGATATACACTGGAAAATACTGAAAACAGATTTTTAAAGAGATATTTTCATAACCATGTTTACGGAAGCACTATTCACAATAGCCAAGAGGTAGAAGCAACCCAAGTGTCTATCGACATAAATGAATGAACAAAAAGTGGTTGATATATGCAATAGAATATTAGTCTTTAAAAGGAAGGAAATTCTGACACATGCTACAACATGGATAAACCTTAAAGGCATGAGGCTAAGTGAAACAAGCCCATCAGAAAAAGACAAAAATATGGTATGATCCACTTATATGAGAGCCTACAGTTGTCAAACTCATAGAAACAGAAAATAGAATGGTGGTTGCCAGGACTAGGGAGAGGGTAAAAGGGGGGAATTGTTTAGTAAGTATAGAGTCTCAGACTTACTAGATGAAAAACTTCTGGAGATCAATTCCATAATATTGTGGATATACTTAACACTATTGAACTTAAAATAGAAAAGGTGATAAATTTTACATTAGTGTTTTTAAACCTCCTCCTTCCCTGAAAAATGACAAGGTCAGACCAAGCACAGTGCCCCACAGTATAACACTGCAGACCTCCTCCAGGTGACTGACACATTTATTTTGCAGTACTGGGGATCAAATCCAAAGCCTCTCTTATGGAGCAACATCCCCAAACCAGAAATATTTTATCATTTCTAGGATAGGTTAACCAACCAGGCTTGACTTTATCTAACTATTAAATTACCTAGCCCTTGTTTCTTTATCTTTACATAAGAGTATCATTAATTGTATCACTCAACAAGCATACTAAATTTCTTGTGCTCTTTTAAAAATAAAAATTAGATTGTCTTATTATCTTGCCTTCAACATTTCAATGGCTCCATTGCTTAGGAAGTTGATTTTTTATCTGGTGCTGGAGATTGAACCCAAGGCCTCAAGCATACTAGGCAAGTGCTCTCCCTCTGAGCCAGTCCAGGAAGTGGAGTTTCAATTGTGCTCCTTGGAGTACTATGAGTCTCCTGGAGCCATTTCAAGGACCACCCATGTTGCCTACTTACTATAGCCAAGGTGCTTTGCTAAGAGCCTTACATATCATCTCAGTGAATCTTCACAACAGCCTCTGAAGAATGTTGTCTGGATGAGGAAACAGACTGAGAAGGTGAGTGCCTTGCCTGGAAGTGGCCCATCTGGGATTCAAGTCTGGGCCTCACAATACCTTGGTCCAAAGGTAAACCTGCTTCTTCACTGTCTTTGTTTAACACTAGACCATCCTCTTGCTTGAGCCTTCTTACAGAAAAATCATTTTTGAGAATCTTTGTGGAGGGGTTGCTATGGAGAGGAGCCGTGGTGTCAATGGAAATCCATCATTCTTTCATAAGCCTCAGACACAAATTGTAACTTATCACAAATTATGAAAACTATAATGCTGTTTGTCAATGAATTTGTCTAGGAATAAGAGCAATTTGATTAATTACCAACCAAGACCATATGCTCATAAGAAAAAAAGAAAGGTGTGTTGTTTCCCTTCATTTTCTGGAAACTGAGGCAGAGTGACCAAGTGAGTTGTTTAATGTAATTCAATTCATTTCAGAGCTGGAAAGAGAATTCACCAACATAGGAACACAAGTTTCTTTTATAATTTATTGTCAGAAAGAAAACTTATTTTGTTTTGCTTTTCCCCTAGAGGAGCTAGAATGATTTTTCCCCTCTGATTTGAAAGTAAGCTAACTTACTCTGTTTCTCTTTTTGACCTCATATTGGCTGCTCTGTTATTTTTCACAATCAGTGTGCTTACTTTTCCCTCTTCTGATTTTTGGGTGCTATTGTCTTAACCTTCATGTCTATCTATGTTGAACCCTGCCTCAAATCCTTTCTGAAAGAGGCAGACTATGAATGAGTGGGTGAATGAGTGAATGGCCAGCCAACCAGGACTCCTGCTGTCTTATAAAGTGCTGTGTCTCCTAAACTTTCCATAATTCCCCACATTTTAAGGCAGCATATTGTATGGGATATCGAGCAACTTTGAATTCAGGCGGTAAGATTATAAGAATTTGAAGTGTTGGGGGGTAAAGGGGTAAGGGAGAGTAATGGAAGAGGTTTAATGGACAATGTGGGGATACATTGAGACATCCCTTTGAACATCAACTTAAGTATTAATAACAAAAGACAGGACTGTAAAATAGGTACAGTATGTGTGGGGGGGTACTAGTGGGAGGGGAATGAAGGAAGGAGATTAAAGTGAGGGTATATGGTAGATGGACTTCATATACCTATATGAAATAGAACTAAGAAACCTCTTGCAATTGCTTTAAGAGGGGTGGGGAGGAGGTTGAGGGGGAGAGACGATGGGGGCAATGTAACCAATGTACAATATAAGTCTAACGGGAATTGTCACTATGAATGCCCCCCCCATGACGAATATATTCTAATTTAAATAAACAAATAAGTGGAAAACAGTTAAAAAAAAAAAAAATTTGAAGAAAACACCAAAGTCTGGAAAACATGGTAGGAAGGGATGCTCACATATTCCATGCTTTCCACCTTTGCTGGCTTCATCCTCACCACAACTCTGTAAGGCAGGTGTTTACAGATGAGGAAAGTGAGGCTCAGAAAACTATGGTAATTCACTCAGGGTTTCAAAGCCAGCCTGAGGTGGAGCCAGAAACAGAACCTAGGATGAAGTTCAAAGTCAAGGCCTTTCATACTAGATTTGGGTCTCCACATCAAAACAACCTGAAAGATTTCCTAGGTGGTTATGAGGTCAATTTGTGATGCATGGGAGGGGCAGAGACTGGATGTGTAGAATAAGCTACGGACTGCCTCCCTTCCCCAAGAAAGTTGCAACCAAATGAGCAGCGCAAATAGTTCAACTAGCTTCCTTTGTGTAATATTAGCATGATTCTGCACTAAACACAAAACCAAAAATAAGGAGTTAACCTCAGTGGTTAGAGCACTTGCCTAGCATGCATGAGGCCCTGGGTTTGACCCCCTGCATGCCAAACAAAACAAAACACCAAAAACTCTTCTTCTAGAAACAAAGGCCTACTGATGGTTAGATGTGAATGGATTCAGACAGGAGTTAGTCTTCTGTGCCAGATCCTGTTTTCCTGATGGGGCTGGAGGTGGGGTCACCTGACCTCATATCACATGGTATGGCATTCATCACATCCCATATTCCTACCTTTCTCACAGTAGGGTTCTCCATCTTCCATGTGGAAGAGGCTGTTCCCAAAAGGCTTCTTGCAGGCTGCACAGACAAAGCAGGTGGTATGCCACGTCTGTCTCAGTGCATGCATCACTTCCTGGGGGAAAGAGCTGAACTCAGAACAGAAAGGTCCCTGGGAGAAAGGGAGCGACACTGGACTTCCTCTACCCAAGTTGCAATCAGGGAACAGGACAGGAGGGCCTAGGAAACAGGCATTGGATAAGCCAAGGGAAGATGTGGAAAGGGTTCCCAGTGTCCAGTGCTGGCTGGGTGCCAGATTCTGTGCATTCTTACATAAGCTGTGTGACGCTTAATCCTCCCATTAAACCTGGGAGGCAGGTTCTGCTTATTACTGCCACTTTACTAAAGGGGAATCAAGGGTCAAGGCCACCTGCAGGTGAGTGGTGAAGTCAGACTATGAAGTAACAACTTGCTTTGCAGAGCTTCACCATCTCTTCAAGTTGCATGACACAGCATTTAATCATTTCTTGCCTCAAGTTCATTTGCTCCCTGATTTCATTGGTGGCAAACCAACTTCCTTCTAGAATAAAAATGGAGTTGCTTCCTCTTCTAGCGGAGGAAACTTCTTGATTTCCTAATGGGACACCACAATCTTAGAGAAGGGGAGAGGTCGGTCAGAGCTAGGGAGAAACAAGGGTCAAAGGAGAGGGGTGTTGCCTACTTACCCCCATGATTTTGGTGTTGCACTTGGCACAGAGTGGGGCAAAGAACTGCTCATAACACCGCTCACAGTAAACATTGTTCTGCTCTTCCACAAAGCACACATCTGCCAGGGAGGTCTTGCAGTAGGCACAGTTGAACTCTTCTGGATGCCAGGAGCGGCCCATGGCTACCAGAAAAGGGCCCCTGAGGAGGCAGAGAACAAACAGTACCTAATAAATAGCATCCAAAATGGGAAACTAGATATTTCAAGACCCTCCCACTTTTGTGATTGTTCTAATGAAGTAATACAGAATTCTGAGAATGCCCATGCAGAAAGATACTGGTGGTTGCAGTGCTTCCCGTAAAGAGAACCCAGAACCAACTCAAATATCCACTGCAGGGGCTGGGCAAGCACATGACGGAATTGAGTTTGCCGTGGGTAATTATAACAACAGTGATGTTGACGGCTAACATTTATTAAATGCTTACCCTGTCTGTGTCAGGCACCACTCAAGAAAAATTTTGTGTTTAATCCTTACAACAATCCTAAGAAGAAGGAACTAATATGATGCCCATTTTCAGGAAAGGACACTGGGGCACAGAGGGGTTAAATAACCCATTCAAGGCTCTAAGCCAGAAAGTGGGAGACCCAGGATATAAACCTGATAATGTAGCTCCAGATAAGTAGTCAGAACACTGCAACTATGAGGAAATTCTTCAGGTTCTAATTTGTACATTTTTGTGTTTTTAAATTACTTTCTAAGGAGTTTGTGTTACGTTATTTTTAAAGAATGCATTTTTTGCTGGCAGAGTGGCTCAAATGGTATAGTGCCTACCTAGCAAGTGTGAGGCCCTAGGTTCAACCCCTAGTACTGCCACAAAAAAAAAGGTGTTAAAGAGTGTATTTTTCATATACATATGCTTATCATGCATGCATGCACGCACACGTACATACACCACACACACACTTTCATACTATATTTAAAGAAGCAGCATCTGTGACCCCTGGCTTCTAAATGTGAAGTGACTTGTTTTCATTTCAGTGCCCACCAAAGCCCTGAGAGGCACAAGCCTGTCTGTGGAAAGACCCAGAAGCAACCCTAAAGGAAAGCTGGGTCAAAACCAGGAATGTCAGCCAGCTTGCAACGTGCCCAATAAACCAGACAAGGGCAGCAATTCCCAGAACCGGCCTTAGCCCAAGGAGGAGCTCCTGGCACCAGGCACTGAGCTGGGAGCCTCACCACTTACCTCATGGAATCCTCCCACCTCCCCAGGGCTGTGGCTGCCACACAGGTATGTGAGCTCCAGCTCAGAGAGGGTCAGACAGATGGTGAAGCAGAGGGACTTCAAGTTGCCTGTGTGGCTGGCCTTCTCCCCACACCTGCCTTCCCAACCCCCGACCACAGGGCTCAGCCTGTGGACAAGCCCACCCCTCCAGTGTCCCAGTGGACAACGATCATACCGAATGACGTTGTTGCAGTGGCCGCAGAGTGGAGTTCGGCTGCTGGCTGGGAAGCGCTCGGCTCTCTGGACCATGCCTCTGGCAAGGGGGGTCACCTGGGGACCAGTTGGGCTGTAGGCTGGGGCCCCTCGGGGCAGGGTCTGCTTGCTGATGGAGGTGGTGCTCTTGCCAGGAGCAAACTTCTGTGAGAAGCTGTCATCGGTCACCCAGGGGGGACGGCTGGCAGACTCCACGGAGCCCCCGCTGTAGGCCGCTGAGGGTGTGGGGTTATAGTTTGGGGCAGGCGATGGCATATAGGTTGGTGCAGGGGAGGGGGAATAAGTGGGAGCGGGCGAGGGGGTGTAGGCAGGCGCGGGCGAGGGGGTGTAGGGAGTCGGACTGTAATTGGCTCCTGAGGATGGGCTGTAGGTAGATGCAGGAACTGCAACCCAAAAATACCCAAAGAATATGTGTCAGGAATTCACTCCTCCCCTCCCCCACCGCTAGCCAGAGAACTGCAAAAGGTGACTTTAATATCAGAGCAGGTCAATTCCAACTTTTAGGGGACATATACTCCTGATCTTGATGGCGCAGATTTTAGCTCTCAGCAGGGAGCCCAGGGAAATAAAAGAGCAAGCTCAGCAGAGCCCTGGGAGCTTGCACAGCACTGGGAAAGGGCTGTAGCTATAAATATTTGCAGCTGTGAGGGGTGAAGCTCCATCTGCAGGTCTTGGCTGCCAAGCCCTGAAGAAGATGGAGGGTGCCTGGGCCTGGAAGAGGGTGGGAGTGGGTCAGTTCAGCCAGAACCGAAGGATGCTTTCAGCTGTGATTCCAGTCCGAAATGCCTCAGTGGGTATGTGTTTGCTACACCTAGATGTAGTGGAACCTTCTGGACAAAGCAGATGACCTGGCAGCTGGGTTTTCAGATTCAGGTTATTGAGAGGAATTCCTGCTTGGTTTGATGGGGGAGTCTTAGAGGAGTCATTCAGAACCAGCCTGGGCAGAGATGCTGGCATGATACGGTCCAGGTCTAGCTGCTCCCTTGGTCCCTGGGGACCTCTGCTTCTCAACATCACTTAGTGCAAATTGAGAGTGTGTTTGAGTGACACCCTAGTGGTTACCTAGGAAGTCTGAGCATAGAGAACAGAATGTGCTGTCCCATTTCTGGAACCCCTCTGAGCGTTCACTGAGAGTGCGGAAACTATGGCTCAGTACACAGGTGGCATGGCAACTGCTGCCCCGGGACCCTCTTGGTCTGGACCCTCAGACCCAAGTTTCTGTTGCCTCTTGCTGTGGAGCCAGCTGGGCAGACCTAGCTGCATCCTGAGCACATACTTCAGCAGGCCTCTTCCTCCAGGGAGGGAGGTTCCAGAGGACTCATCTCTGCCCCCAATTTGCTTCACATCCCTGGAAGCAAGACAAGGTAGCCTCTCTGCCCACTCCGGATCCAGGCTTGGGTGGGATGAACTGTGCCAAGGCATTCCCATGGACCCTAGGTGGACTCAAGACCTCAAGACCCTGGCTCCACCTCTGGTCTTTCTTCCCACATAGTGCCTGGGGCCATCATGAGTGGCCTGCTGTTCCAATTATGCACCTTGTTCTCAGATGAATGGCCCTTTAAGCTGGCAAATGTGGAAAACACATTTGCCCTCGCTGGGAGTGTAGAAACTATGCCTACAATAATGGCTGTAGGAAGCATCCACAGCCCTGCCCTGAGCCATCCTGGGAGTGATGCTGGCTCCCAAAGATAGGACCTTCTCCACATTGAATCTTCCTCCCACGTACTGAGGGTAGGCCAGGCACAAAGCAGATTGTCTGGGTCAGTCCTCACGTTAGCCCTCTCTACACTCCAGGGCACGAGGGCTCAGAGAGTATGGGCAGAGTGAGTTTCTAAAACCTTATTACACAAGCTGCCTCTGTAAAGAATCCAATTCCAGGTGGGCACCGGTGCCTCATGCCTATAATTCTAGCTACCTGGGAGGCTGAGATCAAGAGGATTGAAGTTTGAGACCAGCCCAGACAAATAGTTCAAGAGACCCCATCTCTAAAATAACAAGAGTAAAATAGACTGGAGGTGTGGCTCAAGTGGTAGAGCACCTACTTTGCAAGTAAGAAACCCTGAATCCTGAATTCAAACTCCAGTACCAAAAACCAAAAAAGAACCCAAGTTCGATTTCTATCCAGGGCACCATGTCATTAAGGAGTCTCTTTTCCTTTTGTGACTGGTAATGAGGGTTGAACCCAGAGCCTCATGTATGCTAGGTATCTGCTATACCACTGAACTACATCCCTAGCCTATGGAGTCATTTTCAACATGGAGAAGACCCCATGGTCTGGAATATAGCTCAGTTATAAAGAATCCTGACCTGGGACTGGGGATGTAGCTCAGTGGTAGAATTCTTGCCTAGTATGCAAGAGACCCTGGTTCAATCCCCATCACTGCCCCCAGCTCCCCCAAAAGCCCTGTCTTCACACCCCAACTCTATTGATTCCTGGCTGTATATCCTTGGGTAAATTCCTTAACCTCTTTGGGTCTCAGTTTCCTCCTCTAAAAATGGTAATAATAATTCTTAATCGCCTGAGGATTAAGAGAAAATAAGAAACATAAAGTGCCTAGCCTAGCACCTGGCAAAGTGTATATGTCACTAAATGTGAGTGAAGGCAACAAGGATGGTGGCACCTGGGTCCCAGGGTTGGGAGGTATTGCCGGCTAATCCCATGGTCTGATGGGCACCTGAGAGGAACACAGCCAGGTATATTGTAGGATGGTGAAGAGAAGGGAAATATGACACTTTGAGGTCAGATAACCTGGGACCAAGCCCACTCATTGGTGGTGGAAATGTATGACACACCTCACAGGGTGTGGTGGACAGTATGAGAACGACACAGTGCATCCATTTTGTAAAGCTACAAAGCCCAAATTTGAGGTGTTGTCATCCTCCCCAAGAACCTTGCATAGCCCCCTAGTGCCTGGGACAGAGGGTCTCTTGCTAGGAGCAAGGGTGCCTTGGGGAATACTATCTGGAAAGGAGAATGAAGAGAGGTGATCTGGAAGAACTTCACCAGTTTTGTCTCTACCTGTTGTATACAATGGGGTCTGTGTAAGATCTTTCTTTCTTCTTAGGCCTCAACTTGACATCACTTATGCCATCTTAAAATCTGCTTGACCCTAGTGTTATTTGGCACTAGTAGAGACAGCTCCCCACCCCCATCCAGGGAAATCTTGTTTCCTAGCACCTGTGCCAAAACACAAGATCGAATTCTTTGTCTACACCTAGCAGCGTCCTTCCTGTTCTTGCCATCGGTCCATGACTGTAACGTCCTGTTTCCCAGCACCTGTACCAGAGCACAAGACCAAGTTCCTTGATACCCCTAGCAACAGACAATGGATAAGCCACAAGGTCCTTCCTCACCTGTAAAAGCCCCAGTCTGTAAGCAGCAGGGGGCTCTAGCATCTTCTGGAGAACTCATCTGCAGCTTCCTTCTCCTGAATAAATCTGTCTATCCCTCTGTGCTTTTCAGTCTAACACTTGTCTTCTCTTCCCCTTCCCACCTCTATCCTTCTTCCTTCCTTCCTTCCATTTCTTTTCTTTTTTTTTTTTGAGCCCAGAGCTCACTATGTTTGCCTAGGTTGGCCTTGAACTTCTGGGGTGCTTTAAGCAGTACTCCTGCCTCAACCTCCCAAGTAGCTGGGACTACAGATATGCACCACCTGCATGCCTCTGAACCATTTTAAATATACTGAATTAAATAAAACATACTAAAATTAAGTTCACCTGCTTTCTTTTGGGTTTTAAAAATATGGCTACCAGAAATTTTCTTCCTCTCAGATGGTGCTGTCCCAGTCAAAGCAGTGACTCCCAGGTTCTGATGGCTTCCACATGCCAGGCACTTTACGAACACGATCTTGTGGCATATTCTTCACGCAGCCAGGCAAGTAAGTACATTTTACAGACCAGGAATTGAGGTTTGGAGAGTTATGTGACCAGCTCCAGGTCAGCCAGCTAGCGATCTGCCTAGCAAAGATCTGCCTAGCAAAAATGGTGGCTCAAGACACCTTAAGCAGCCCCAGATCCCTGCTTAGCCCCTCCCCAGGTGACAAAGCAGACTTTAGCCCACAGCTTCCAATTAGGCCCGGCCCTGGCCCACCTTTCCTGCCTCCCTCCAGCGATTCTAACCCTCTTTCTTCTTCTGGATCCCCAGAGCCACCCTCCTTTCCTCACCCCACTGGAGCAGGCTGGAACCTAGCCCAGGGTTGTGCCCACCCCAGAGAAGGACCTTCCCCTCCCTGTGGCCACCGGCCAGCTCCCCTCCCCCGGGGGTCCCCTACTCCCGGGCTGTTTCTCTCTTCCCCCGCGCGACACGCACGCCATGCCAACAGAGACTTGCTATCCGTCCCATCGGAGCTCCCGGGCCGTTGCTATTTCTACATGTCGGAATTAAACCCGTCCAAATTAGAAGGTGATACTTCATCTCTAATTGCCAAGTTCAAAAGGCCCTTATCTCACCCGGCGGCCTCGGGACGGTGTAATTAAACAAGGTGATTTCTGAGTCACTCCGGGCCGGGCCTGGCTCTCTGCGAGCGCACGGTCACCACCCGAGCCGCGGGCCGACGTGGCCATCCCGGGGCCGCGGTGCCCTCCGCCCACGGCGAGTCCCGGCCCCCGCGCCACCGCCCCTCCCGGGCCCCAGGTGTTCTGGGGAGCGGACGCCCAGCCCCGGCGCCAGCGATAAGATCCGGGCTGCGAAAGCCGCCCTCAGCCCGGAGGAGACTGCGGCCCGGCCGCGCGGGCGGCTGTCCACGGCACCCGGGTCCCCGCAGCCCGGAGCGCGGCGCGGGCACACACTCCCCGCTTCGTCCGGGCCGCCTGCCAGCCGCCCCCGGGCCCCCCAGGCCAGAAAGGCGGGGCAGATCGCCTCCTCCCCTCCAGGCAGGAATGAGTTAACGTCTGCACCGCCTGGGAACGGCGCGGAGGCCCGCGGCTCCGGCACGTCTCGCCCGCCTGGGCCCCAGCCCGGGAAGGAGCGGAAAGGGACGCAGGGCGGGCCTGGCAGGGCGCGCCCCGGAGCCGTGTCGCCCCCTGGCGGGCCTTAGGGGGACAGTCGGCGGTCGGGAATGGGGGGCTCCAGAGGGGCCTGCCTGTACAGGATCGGAATGCCCCCCAACCTGCCGCTTCGCATTCAAACTCCTTTCCACCCTCCCTCCATTGTCCCCCACTTCTGTCCCCTCACTACAGCCCTGTCCAAAATGCCACTTCATCCGGTGAAGTTTTAACCTCAGAATTTTCTGCCCTTGACTCTTAAGGGATAGAGAGAAACACTTCCCGTTTTCCAGGCATCGTGCTAGGAGTGTCATTCCATCCACAGAACACGAATTACACAGTGTCATCCTTATTTTTTCAAGTGAGGAGGTTCAGCCCTGAGAGATGAGGTAGTTTGCCTCAAGGAGCAAACTGGGAGTCAGTCTGGTATCAGCTAAAGCGCTTCCTGAACACGCAACACGCTGTCAGACTGAGCCTTATAAAACCGAGGTTGAAGGTAGTACCACTGGCCCACCCACCAAGTTTAAGCTCCCCAAGCAAGGCTCTTCCTGACCCAATCCCTGTCTTAACCTCCTCTGCGCTCCAACCTTAGAGAAAAACTCAGTGGGGTCTCTCTTGTGCTTTAATGGGACATGCTCTGTCTAGACACTGTACATGATGTTATGCCCACAGCTGCTTCGCCCATTCATGCTCATTCGTGGTCCCCTTTGTCCTCTCCCTTAGAATGACCCACCCCATTCTTTCCCACACTAGTCTAAAACTTCCTCCCTTCATCAGTTTACCAAATGCAAAACCGATATGTATCCTGATAGGGAATTTGATAAAGGGGGAGGTTGTGCATGTGTGGGGACAGGAAGTATATGGAAAATCTCTGTACCTTCCCCTTAATCTTGTCGAAACCTAAAACTGTTTAAAAAAAAACTGTTAAAAATTATATTTGAACCAGGTGGATCACCTGTAATCCTAGCTACTTGGGAGGCTGAGATCAGGGTTGGCAGTTCCAAGCCAACCCTGGGCAAAAAAAAGCTTGCAAGACCCCATCTCAACAGAAAAAAAGTGGACATGGTGGTATGTGCTTATCCTTCAAGCCACTACAGGGAGCTTAAGAGAGGAGGATGAAGGTCTAGGCCAGCCTGTGCAAAAACAAACCCTGTCTCCAAAATTGACCAGAGCAAAAAGTGCTGGAGGCATGGCTCTAGTAGTAGAGTCTAGGAAGCATGAAGCCCTGAATTCAAACCCCAGTACCACTTAAAAAAATGTGTATAATTTTGATGGGAGAGAAATGTTTGTATCACTACTGTAAATGTAAAATCATTATTGCATTCCATAAATTCAAGATGGCTATAGTGATAAATATGTTTAAAGTATGCTGCTTTAAAAATGGATCTTCATCATCCCTCACGACAATCCTGAAAGAAGAGCCCTTTCATAACTCTAGACACTTAAGGGTGGTGGAGCTTTATACAAAGAAGCTGAAGGTCAGGCTCATTCCAAAGTCCATGCCGCAGTTTGCCCTGTCACTCAGCCATCCTTTAGTGTGGACACCAACCCCTCACTCGGAATGCGGTCCTCCTAAAAGAAACCCACAATGCCAGCAAAAGACAGAAGGCTGTAGTGCTTACTTATGGGGTTCTGGGTGGCAAGATGTCATCTATATATTATATTGCCTTCATAAGACACTATCACCCCGAGCCTCTGCCCATTACCTGAATGGCCTGATGAATGTGTTCTCCTTTACCGAGGCTATTTGCCACTAGGGTTGCGATGGAGTTCAGTCCCATTTTGATAGTATTTTGGTAGGCCTTGGGATGATGATCTAGAAGCACGAAATACGTAGAAACTAATACACGAAAGTATATGGACTAATGGGAACACCATACGAGTCTCTTCAATTACAAATGAGAAATGCTTATAAAGAGCAACGCACACTACGCAACAAAATGCCTCTTTTTCTCTTATACATACACTTTCAGTATATCTTGAGATTTCTCACACATGAAGAAGGGATTAGTGTGTGCTCCATTTTTGAGAATTCTTTTTCTTAGGTGACTAAAGACTCAAGCTCAAATAGTGGAAGGGATGGTGCGAAGTGTGGTGGAGATGAATCAGCAACGAGGCATTCAGACGAAAATTGCTCCAGGAACACGATCAATGGCCCTCACTTAGCTAGTGACTTTTTTATCGCGCAATGAATCCCAACTCAGCGGTTCTGGAAATGTCGCGTCCAGATGCTTCTCTTGTGCGCCACTTTCTTTCGCTGAGTAATCCTCTCCTCTTGTCAGGCCCAAGTCAGGTGCATACAAAGGAGAAAATTCACTACAGTCCTGCCCTCTTGAAGTTCAGACTCTGAATCCAACAGGAAGGAGGGGATGAGACCAGACTTAGGGCCTGGATGCCAGGAGCCCTTACGCAGTCACTTTCCCCAATCTGGGGAAAAACCTTTAGGTTTTAAGCAATGACTAGCAGAGAAAGGCAGGCTGAAGGACAGCCTGAGAACTGCCCTTGGTCTTTGGGAAGAAGCCTGACTTTGCCTAGAAAAGCAAGGGACATAGGGCTGAACCCTTGTCCCTGCAAGGCGACCCTGGGCACTGATAAGGGGCCCAGAGAACCAGAGAATTCTGCCTTGGACCCACCCTGACCTGGCCCTCCACTGCCATGTTGGATGTGCCTTCAGCTACCTTGCCTCAGCAAGGTAGACAGGTTAAACAGCTTGTCTAAAAGCATACTGTGATACAGTAGGTCAGTCCAAAGCCTGTGACGTTTTTGTTATAGTTGTCTATCCTCTAGCTTGAGCCAGATCCAGATTCATGGAGGAACAGCTTCCCATCCCTGTGCCCCAAAACCTCCCTTCCCTCACCTTGAACTTGGAAATCTCATCCAGGAACATCTTCTTCCTAAGAGCTAGGAGGCTCCATCCCTGTCTGACACTGCGCACCTGTCTCCATGGCCAGATGCAGGCTCCCTGGGATTGGCCCACAACTGGGGGAAGGAAGACTGAGCCAGTAGGGCCTTACTATTCCTCTGAAGACGTGGCCTTGGAGCCAGCCCTATACCCGGTCTAGACAACCTCTCTTCCCACCCTGGCTCTCACCTGGCTGGTAGACAGAAGGCCGGATGCTGGCAGTGGTGACAACCCGGGGCTTGGGTGCAGGGGCAGCAGGACTCTCGCTGTAGCTGGTATGAGTGGCTGGTGCTGGAGAGGAGGCTGCTGCAGGGCTGTAGGCAGAAGCCTGGGGCCTGGAACCAAGGAGGAAGAGTTACGGCAAGAACGGTCCCCATCCAAGCCCTGGAGCCTGCAACCTGATCTTCAGGAGCCTCTTTGAGGAGGGATCTGACAGAAATGTCCTTGGGTAGCTGCCAAAGGCTGTGAAGGAGAAGCCAGGGTGTTTCAGAAGGGGGGAAGCTGCTCCTTATGGCTAGTGCTACCACCTTTGGAAAAAGGGAGGAAAGGCCCCAGCCAGACAAGAGGACACATGAAGAATCCTTCACTCCCATGGGACTGCCACTGTTGTGATGGGCCAAGGATAGAGACAGAGGGAGGGAAGAGAAGGACGATGGAGGTGGTCACAGCTTCCCCTCCCTCCTCCACCTTCTGAGGCCCTTCGCAACCTCTGACCCCCTGGCCTCTTCTTCTTCCTACTGGAGCAGTAGTGTCAGGTTTCTGAGCAAGAATACTACAGCAAGGACTCATGGGAAGAGCCAGAAGCCCCCAGCAGCTCTTCCCAGCAAACCCACTCCACTTAGAGAATTCCTTTTCCTTCCACTGGGTTAGCTGTCAAAAGGCCTCTTCCCTTATGAAGCCCAGGGACCATGGGAGCAAAGAGATAGGGAAAAAAGTGTCCTAGTTCATTGCCCTCAGGAAATGCTGTACTTGGCCTCTCTTTGGGAGCTGAAGGCTCCAAGAACTCCCTAGAGTTCAACAGCTTGTTTAATCTTATCTAATCCAGTGTTTCCCAATTTCACTTGTTTGTGAGATCCTTTTCTTCATTTAAAACTAGTGAACACCTTACAGACCATGTTCCATGCTCTCTCCCTGCATCTTTCAGATCCTAAAAGGGATATATGACCACACCCAGGGCAAATGGGTCATTGGCAAAGCGCTGGAGAAGTGAGTTTCTGGAAGTAGACCTCCGCCTGCCTATGGCTTCCTGCATTCCTTCCACCTGTTTCCCACGTGCCTAGGGCCTGCCCATCCCTGCTAAGCAAAGTGGTAGAATTGGAGTGCCTGCCTCTCTGGGGCTTTCAGTGGGGTGACCCTGGGATAAGAACCCAACACCAAGTACCTGAGTAGATCCAGGGAGCTGTGGGACTGCCTCAGACAAGGCAAAAGTAACACAGTCCTAGGGAGCTAGCACTCCTGATCCGGGGGTTCTGCATACTTGCCCTGTCACTGTGCAAGCTTCTAGTTGAGTGAGGCCATTGTCTTTCCTCCTTGCCCTTCTGTGGATAGATTCCCAGTGCTAAGACCATCAGAGTAGCGGCTTTCCCAAAGAAGAGATCGTATTCAGAGGTGTAGCTTCTACCATGGTTCAATGAGACCACAATTCAGTAGAGGACATTTTGCCAGTATCCCAGGAGCTATAGGTCCTGTCTTGGGGATTGATGTGGATAGAGAACTCTGAAGCCAGGTTCCAATGAGAGGCTGAGGTGTGCATTTGCCTCTAGCTCTAGCTCCTTCCCAGCCCAGGTGGGAGGAGAGGCACGAGCTGGCTCAGACACACTCTGGGTTCAGAGTGTGTCTTTCGCCCACCACCCTCTCCACCCCGTCCTTCTGTTGCAGCCAGATGCTCTTCTGGGCAGCCCTCTGGGGTCTCTCCAAGTTCTATGCAGGCCTGAGCTTTCTTGGCAAGGCTAGGGGAAGCAAGGACTCACCCTGCTGAGGGCATCTGGAGGGTTTCAGGTGCCCTGTGGTGGGCAAGCCAAAGATATAGAAGCCTGGAGCCCTGTTCTAGAGCCTGCCCTTCAACAGGGGTAAGGATGAGACTGTATTACCTGCAGGCTCCAGCATCTATGCTCCCCCATTCAAATTAGGAAACTTCTTTCCACTCAACAACAGAGACATTTTTTAACCCTCCTCAAAGTTTCTTCTTTGTACAGATAGCAAAACCCTTATGGGAAGAGATTCTGGCATGGAGAGGGGAACCAGCTTGCTAACCCTGCCCCCAGAAAACTGGTGAAAAACCACCTCTGAAAGCCCAGGGCCAGGCTCACTGCTAAGGCTTGAGTTAAGCTGGGCAAAGGCTGATCTTGGCACCACATGGGTCATTATAAAGCTGGGGGTGGAGGTGGGCAGCAGACAGACCTGTGGGCATTTTTGCTCCAGGTTGCAAGACTCAAGAGTCTTGTCCTCCCCAGAAAATTCATGGGGGGGCTAGGAAACTGGGCTCTGGCTCCAAATACCAACTGGCAGCTCTGGGAAGCCAGGAAAGAGCCCAGCCAACCCTGACTGGTACAGCTGGTGGCTCCAGGGCAACTTGTCCTGCTGTCCCCTCCGCTCCCCACTCTCCCCTTGCCTTTGGGCTCTGCCTTACGGGGTATCCAGGAGGACAGGCCGGGATGCAGGCATTTGAAGTACCCTTTTTGTGTACTATGTGTATTTTTTTTCATCACACCCCCATATATCCATGTGATATTTTAAACAACTAAACAGATGAAAAGACTGAGGTTTGGAGAAGCTAAGTCCCTTTCTTGGGGTTACAGAGAGTAAGTAGAGGAGCAGAGATTTATATCTGCTACACCAGGTGGATCTGGAGTTAACATGCTTCTCCATCAAGAAAACAGAGGGTAGAGGAGGTGGGCCAGTCAGTGGCTAAACTATCTGATCTGGCGTCCATGCCTACCTCCATGTTCCCTCCTCCAGAGAGTCTTCCTTGATTTCCCCAGTCCATGGGGATGACTTATTCTTCCTTAGTTGAGTTTCAGGAACAAGGACTAACCACTTAGCCACCTCCCCAATTTTGTAATTTAATCTAATCTTTCTGTTTGTGTGCACACACGGACACGTGTGTGAGTGAATTTTACCTATGTCACTAGAGGTGTGCTCCTGGGGGCAGGGCAATGTCCCTGCCTCTGTCCTTTGCCACAGGTGGTGCAGTCCCATGAAGTGTGCCAACTTACCCTTTACATTCTGCACCAAGCAGTGCTGGCCTTGGCTTTCTTGGGAAATCTCAGGTCCCTAAGCACCTGGTCCCGCAGCCTGCAGATGGACCGAGGGTGGGGCCTCGCCTGCCTCCCTTTCCCATGCACCTGCAGGCCAGTTACCTTGGACTGTCCTCAGGGCTTGAGGCAGGGGCTGCAGCAGAGGCGGTGGTGGCACGGGGAGTGGCTGCGCTGGGAGAGGCAGCAGCAGGCGGCTGGGCAGAAGCGGGCAGCAGAGGGGTGGCGGCCTGGCTGGTGCACACTGGAGCATGCTCAATAGGGGTGCTGATGAGGTGGGACCAAAAAAGACAACAGGTCAAGGGGGCCCCAGGCCCTGTGGGAACCCTGAGGAGAAGGTGGGGCAGCAGCGGCAGGTCCCGGAATCACCATTAGCACTGCAAACAGAGCCTGATCCTCCAGAGCCGGCATCTTCCAGGCTCAGGGAAAGAGCTCCTTTGGGATTCCCAGAGGGAATCACAGCACACATTCTCAATCCTGAAAAGATGTTTTCCCCTCCATTTTTCTGTACTTCCTAACTTTTCTTTCTCAGCAAAATACAGTGCAATGGAAAAGTAGATTTAATTACCAACCAGATTACTGACCTATCCTTTCCCTTTCATCTTTTTCCATGCAGTGCCTTTTGGGAGGGGTGATCCGACAACAACAACAGAAAAGCAGAGGTGAAATACTTGAGTGTCAAGGTCGTAGGCTCTGGACTGTGAGAAGCTGGGTTTTAAGGCCTAAGGACTCAGGGCTTGAACAAGACATTTCTGAGATGGATAACAGCTACCATGCCAGGCAGGTCAAGACTATGTGGACCAGAAGCAAGTAAAGTGGTATGGCAGATTCAATGATAGAGGCTCTTGTGCCCCTTTTCAGGGTAAACCCTGAGGAGTGGCAGGACCCATGGTGAGGGGACAGGCAGACCAAATATCCATGCCACTGTGTGGCCTGGGTGCCATGGAGGGTTTCCCACACACCCAAAAGTGACACAGATGTGGCCCTGAGCACCTGTAGATCTAAAAGGCCTTATAACTGGAACAAGAGAGATGAGCATTCTGCCAGTGTGACCAGAGAGACCAGATGGGGTGGGGACATCCAGCAGATGCTCACATGCCCACTCCTCTTCCCTAGAACCACTCTAGAAGACAAGAGTAGTGAGGGCCTGAGCTGATGGGATTAGACTTCTACCTGGGAAATGGGGCAGAGAATGAAAATTAAATCATAGGAAACAAAGAAATTCGTGTTTTTTGCTTTTTTTGCTTTTTGCCTGAGAAGGGATCTCACTGTGTTATCCAGGCTATTCTCGACATTCCTAGGCTTAAGTAATCCTCCTACTTTAGCCTCCCAGAAAACTGGTACTACAGGTGTGTGCCACAACACCCAGCTCACTCTTTGCTCTTTGATTGGCATTTTGTATTTTTGACAACAGTGACAGAATAAATGTAACTACAACAAATGGGAATAATTGTCCCTCACATGTTATGTAATTCATTTATTGACCTGATACAATGTGCCAAGCATTATGTCTTTCTTTGGTTGTACTGGGGTTTGAACTCAGGCCCTCACATGTGCTTTCGAGGCAGCCACTCTATCCCTTGAGCCACCCTCCCCCACAGTGTTTTGTCTTTAATTACACAACAGCCCTCTTATGTGGGTATTATTGACTCTATTTAATAGATGAGGAAACAGAAACAGAATTAAATTGCTCAGGGTTCTAGAACCCACCCTTAGGGACAAAATGATGGAGGCTCATTTTAATTTGAAGCCTTAACCAGTACCTCATGCAGGAAGAAAGAAACCTTGTCATCAGTCAAGTGGAATGTTTCCAATAAAAGGTGCTGTTCTTATTAGACACAGAATAACAGTACTTTCCTCTACTGGGTGCTTTCCATAATATCAGCAGTACATCATTATTTTCTTTTATCCTTTCAGTCTCCCTGATTGGTATGGTGAGTCTTGTTTAGGTAAGGAATTTGAAGTCCAGAAAGATTGCATATCTGGTAAAACATCACATTGCTTCCAGCTGGCAGAAAAGGATGTGAGCCCTAATCACTACATTTCTTAAACTTTCGTGCGTTCAAATTACCTGGGGATCTTGTTAAAATGCAGCTTCTAGTTGAATAGGCCTGGGATGGGGCTCAGTCTAGGTTTCTAACATCAGCTGATGCTGCGGGTCCATGGACCACACTTGGAGTGGCAAGGTGCTAGAGAGATGTGCCCAGATAGGAAGCCACAACATGTTTACCCTGGGCTCACCCAATTGTTCTCCTTCATCCAGCGAGAGAGGAAAAAGGCATGAAATAGAGCAAGAAAATCAGGGAACAGAAAAAAGTGGCAAGGGTGTGGATGACTATCCCATGGGATGAAAGCCAGTCTTCTCCACTACTGCATGGGAAGCATTCAAGACAAGGAAGCGCACATCCTGCCCAGGCGCTCTCTGGCTTAGTGGTCAGAGAGGAAACCTTGGGAGCCTAGTTTGCAGGCCTGCAGTAGTGCTGGCCCTGGCCCTTGCATGAGTTCACTTGCCTAGCCTTTCTGTGAAAACCTTGCTTCTGGAAGCCATGCTTGTGACATGGCTGCCTCAGAGAAGAAGCTGCAGGCCCTGAAGCCTGCTACCTGGCTCACAGTGTAGGAAGGAGCAGGCTGGCAAGGAACACGAGTCTCCCTGATTTGCCTGTCCTTGGCGCCATCCCACATTTCCAGTTGACTGCTGGGAACTGAGGATACTAAACAGGGCTGGGCAGATAAGAAAGTGAGTTATGGAGGGAGGGTGAATGAAGATTAGGTATATGGTAGATGGACTTTAGATACCTATAGAGGTAGAAAAAACAAACCCCAGGCACTTGCTTTAAGTAGGGCAGGGAGGCGGTTGAGGGGAAAAGGCGATGGGGGTGATGTACAATATAAGCCTAATTGGAATTGTCACTATAAATCCCCCACCCCATATAATGAATATATCCTAATGAAAACTTTTATAAAAACAAAGTGGATGATGCTGGCCCTGTGCCCCTCGCTGTTGTGGTAGTCCTTGGTAGTGGAAATGGTGGAGTTTGGTTGACCCTGTTATTGATGACAGTGATGTCTGGAAAGCATGGGGATGGACTAGTGGAGGTGCCAGCTCTTGGGGGTCACTGAATTCGAGTTGGCACTGTTGGTGATGCTGTGATTGGTATTAATGGTTTGGAAGGGAGTGCCATTATTAGGATGTCGATGCTACTTGTGCTAGGTAAGATAGTGGAATATGGAAATTTCTGTTCATTAGATGATGACATAATACAAGTCAGGTGGTTGATTGTAAAATTGTTCATGCTGCCACACACCTGGTCTGCATTCTATCTTGCAGCCTATGACTCTTGCTTGGGGTAAGTATTGGCTAAGTGACTTTGCAGCAGGGCCAGGTCCTGCATTGACACTGTGGTCTAAGCGAATGACACCCATCAACTGTTGTGGGAATGGGGCCCTTTGCTTTGCTCCTTCCACTTTTCCCTCAGAAGACATTCAAAATCCCATGGCCTGCTGGATGCATGGATAAGTGGGAGAGTGCCTGCCTTACAAGCATGAAGCTCTGAGTACCACCAAAAAAAAAAAAAAAAAAAAAAAAAAGAAAGAAAAAAAAAAGGGGAGAGCAAAATCTTTAGGTCATATTCCTACAGCACTCACTAATTTGTCAGGTGATGCCTGTAATCTAGTACTTGGGAGGTTGAGATCAGGAGGATCACAATTCAAGGCCAGCATGGGAAATAGTTTGAGAGACCCCCCATCTCAAAAAATAGTCTGGAGGAGGATCACAATTCAAGGCCAGCCTGGGAAATAGTTTGAGAGACCCCCATCTCAAAAAATAGTCTGAAGGAGTGGTTCAAGTGGTAGAACACCTGCTTTTCAAGTGTGAAGCCCTGTGTTCAAACCCTAGCCTGCCAAAAATTTTAAAAATCCCATAGTCTGGGATTCTAGATCTGACTACTACTAACCATGTCCTCCTCTGCGTTTCTTCCATACCAGGAAAGATGATGAATTCAGGACGATGGAACACCCCTTTTCTCACCAGCACCTCTGACCTCTCTGCTTAGACTGTCTATCCAGTCCCCTCATCAGTACACACCCCAGCCCTAACCATACATAAAGAACTGACCTCTTGCAGGAAGCCTTCTCTGATCCCCCAGTCGGAGGGACTCTTGCCTTGGGACTCCACATGATCACCCTTGCATTGTGGTCACAGTACATCCCCCTTTCTGATTCCTTTAGCACTTACAGCAGTCAGGCTCTTCAATAAGTGCCCAAAGACACAGGATATGAATGAGGACATCTCTCCTGCTTACTCTGATGGCTTCACATGGACCCTTTATCTGGAACTACACAAAGCACTACACACAGGGGCCTGGTGTAGCTGGGAAGGCACCAGGAAGATTGAGAAGCAAGCGAAAGCCTTCCAGGGCTTCAGCTGAGTGACTCCAAAAAGTCTTCAACAGGCTAGGGGCTAGGGACAGAGCCCACCAACTCTGCTAGCCTCAGGCTACCCATTGCCTGGGACCACTACTACCTCTCTTTGTCTGCCAGGCTCCTGTTCCCCCAGCCCACTCTTGGGTCTTACAAGTCCTTAGTAAAAGGTCATCCAAATATGGTGTGTCCCAAATTGCCTAGATGAAGGCAGGAGTTTCCCCTCGCCTCCCCAGTGTGGATCCACCAGCCAGGCTGATACCTGGTCCTGTGCTGGCCCTGGCATCAGACTGCTGGAGGCAGGAAGGAGTGAGAGGCTAAGGGGGTATAGGCCAGCAGGGAGCTTTGGGGAGCATCTCAAGGGAGATGTACAGGAGAGAGCAGCTTCTCTGGCCAATCCTTCCAGGTGGGATCACTAAGGTCCCTGAAGGCAAAGAGAAAGGCTCTGTCCAGACAGTGGAGCTGGAATAGGACTCTGGCCATCCAACTTCAGAAGAGGCAGGGAGTCCTAAGATGGGCCTTTACACCCTCTTCATTTGCCAAGGTGCCATCATCCTTGTATTCTCAGTGTATGATTCCATGCAATCAGGGACCAAACTGTTGGGTAGGCAGGTGGGTGGAGCACTTGCTATGGAAGGATGTAACACTATCACCCCAACTGGAACCTATTTAGATGCTGCTGCCCTAAGTAGCTCTTGCTAAATTCTCTGAACAAGGCCACAGGAAGGGGCTGTGGCCCCAGCAAGACTCAGTTGGAGGCTTTCCCACCCTCCTGCCACCAAGATTCTGGTAGGGCTGCCTTCCATCTCTTCTCCCCTTCCTGGGGACCTCACCCTGGCCCCTGAATG